AGTTTAGTAGAATTTCTTTTTATAAAACTTCACATACGTCCACAACTTTTACTTTAGAATTGTGAGAATAGATCTTGTGAATTGCATGGAGCCTTTAAGAGCTTGTGATACACACAGAGAGCCATACGTGCCCTGATCTGTGGTACATGATACCATCTGCACGAGATTTCAGTGTTCTTGATAACCCATAATCTGACCAATTTTGGCTTGATAGTGGATGGTGAAGGCCAGCAATCAAACAGACTTGTAGATATATGGATTGTCTTATTGGAAGCTTGGTGGTACGTTGTGCATTTCAACCACAAATATCGGGGGTGTTTCTGGAAGGAACCGACCCGCTGCTCGGAGTCTGAATGAATCATTGGGGGGTTCACGGGAAAGGAGTCCGGCTCGGGGAGGTGTACCCGGGGCTCCTAGCGGTCGCGACCGATACACCATCGACCTGGTAACCTAATGGGAAAAGCACTCACTTAGGTTAAGGCCGACTCTCACCATCTTCCATTCCCGTCTGGCTCAATTCTTTCCCTCTTGACAGTCTCTTCGCGCCTGGGCACCAACTCCGATATCCTCAAGGTAAGCAAACCATCACTCAGTCTGGGTCTCAATTTTCAATTCACCACCCTTGAGCTATGGATCACCCGAAACTTGATTTTCGTCTGATTGTACCATCGACCTCTGCGCAGCTCATCTCATCGCTTACTAATCTCAATAATCCATGACTCAGCACAACACACGCAGACCAGCATATAAATGAAGATAAAAGAAATGGTTCATTGACTGTTTTTCTCCCCTCTCCACAGACCAAACCCTCATCTTTCAACCTCAAAATGGGTCGTCGTCCAGCAAAGTGCTACCGTTACTGCAAGAACAAGCCTTTCCCTAAATCACGATACAACCGTGGTGTCCCCGACCCCAAAATTCGTATCTTCGATCTTGGAAGGAAAAAAGCAAATGTCGACGACGTTAGTCCTTCACACAGCCATTGGTGTTTATTTGCTCTTCACTGACCTGTTTCGCTGGTGTTCCTTCAGTTCCCATTCTGTGCTCACTTAGTCTCCAACGAGAAGGAGCAACTTTCCTCCGAGGCCCTCGAAGCTGCTCGTATTACTTGCAACAAATACGTCACCAAGACCTCCGGAAAGGATTCATTCCATCTTCGTGTTCGGGCCCACCCCTTCCACGTTGTCCGAATCAACAAGATGTTGTCCTGTGCTGGTGCAGATCGACTTCAGACCGGTATGCGTGGTGCTTGGGGTAAACCTTACGGAACCGTCGCCCGTGTCAACATTGGTCAAATCTTGCTCAGTGTCCGATGCAAAGACAGCAACAAGGCTGTTGTCATGGAGGCTTTGAGGAGAGCTCAATACAAGTTCCCTGGACAGCAAAAGATCATCGTGTCCAAGAAGGTTTGTCTGCTGTGCCATGACCCACTTCACTCCTTTCATTGACTAACCCATTTTCCTTTCACTTCAGTGGGGTTTCACCGACTTGGCCCGTGATGAATTTGTCAGGCTCCGTGATGAAGGCCGAATCAGAAATGATGGTGCCTATGTTCAGGTTCGTTTGGCCCCCCTTCCTTTCGGTATAAGCCTTCACTGACTCTCTTGCTATCCTATCACCTCTTTTCCTTTTTCCCTTCACAGTTCCACAAAGCCGCCGGTGACGTTCTTACCAACTTGTCACGGGGTGCCCCTTCTCTCTGCCAAGAATGAGAATGTATCGTCACTTTCTTCCGCCGCCTGTATTCTACGTGTCCGGTCTATGCTACCCCCATGCAATATCCATCGCCGGCTTCCATAATATGCAAATGACGGTGTTCCGAACACCCACTGTTTTCACCCACCCCTCCGGGTCCTCGATCTTGCCTACATTCACCTCCATATCATACCACGTTCTTTCCTTTACCATTCCATCCCAATCCAATCCCGTTTAAATCTTGCTTCCCATGTCTTCGGACAACTCCATGGGAAAACAAGGGGAAACGCGGGAGAAATCAACTCGGGCGTATTGGTTGAACCTTCGGGTTCGATCTATACCGTCTGACTATGATTTTGCTCGTCTCTGTCGCTATCCACCAGTGTCGGCTTCACAGCATAGTCACATTGCCTCGCTTCCACTCTTTATCACACTTTCCCTGTACCTTTCCTCGGTCCCTGTCTCCCAATGCAATTTTAACCCTCGCTTTTACCACGCTAGCCCAAAAGCAGTCTGCCGACAAATCATCTAGCAAGGACTTCCGTATTTCTTATCTTCCATGTTGCCCAGCCTTCAATAATTTTCTCTTCTCATTTATCAATTCCATTACCCCGTTTAAATCTTGTTTCCCATGTCTCCGGACAAACTCCAGGGGAAAACAAGGGGAAACGCGGGGAAAATTGAGGCCGATGGACGGGGTAGAATCTGTACCATCTGGCTGTCCTTTGTGTTCGTCACCGTTGTATCCACCGGTGATGGCATCAAATATGTAGCAAGGCTACTTGGGACAGCATATATATTTGAATGTCTGAACCATGTTCAATCTGTTTGCAATTATTGCTGTTTATGTCTCTGCCCCCCTGCTTGATTATGCGCTTAGAGCATCCACAGTGGACTTTTCATAAATTTGAAAAGACTTTTGAATACTTGATTGCAAAGATCGTTTTTGCCTTCAATTCTTGCTGTCCACAGCGGACTGTTCATTTTTGGACTTTGATTTACTGTACAGTGGGTGACAAAAAGTTTACGTACCTCGACTACATATGTATTAGTGTAGCCCAGTCTATGGGTACTTTGTATCTTGAATCACTCCTCCATACCAGAGAATTGGAGTATCGCTGGAATTGGGCAAAAGCGTCTCCGGGCAAAAAATGACCTAGGCGCCACCATCGGTTGTACGTCTACATACCGAGCCCCACCGAGCCTGTGATGTGGAAGGTGGCTTTGATTTATACACACCGTACCGGTACAGCGAGGTGCCAGTGAAGCTTGTTCTACAAGCTCTTACTCTCTCTTACTCTTCTTGCTGGTGAAGTTGAGAGTACAACATAATTGTTTCTAATATTTGCAAATTGCAAACAACACTCCGAAGAAGGGAAGTGTGAAAATACTCAGACGGAGATGTTGGTGGACAAAACCTCGTATTGTCAGATCAAAAAGGTGTTGAAAGAGCAATAGCAAGGTGTCAAGCGATTGAGGACTCCCTTATCGAATGGTGCTGAATAGTGACCCAGCATCACAAAGATGATTAATCTAATCCTATTAGACTAGGAGACCCAAAGTAACAAGAGCCTACAGGAATGTATCAAGAATCATGATCTCATTTCATTGACATCGTAGCTGATGATGAAAAAAAGGAAAGAACAATCTAATGAAAAAATGAAAAAACAAGAACGCTTGTTGGTTTGTCATACGCTTATTTGGCCATAGCTTATGAGCTTATAATTGAACGCCTGAACATCATAGCTGTCCAGCAAGTTCCTCACATGTTGCTCTCTTTCTCTGCTCACTGATTCTCCTGGGCCATCAGATAGACCAAGATTTTTTGCTTGCTCTGCCTGAAAGCACGTCTGAAGAAGCTCGAATATCCTGGTCAACGTGAGTCTCCGTGAGTTGAGTGGCAATTTGTATTGAACTACTCTTACAGCAAGTATAGGTTTTGTACAGGCTGTCTACCTTTTCGCCCGGAGACCTTTTCGCCCACTTTCACCCATTTCCAACAATCCTTGAATGCTCCCCTCCATACCTCATCCAGATTGTCTCTTAAAATGAAGACTTGCACCCTTTCTCCCACTCGAAAGAAATCTATCATTTATATGCACGAATTTGGGATTCCTGGCACTCAAATTGCCAAGAAACTTGGCCATCCCAAGTCAACTATCTACACAGTGATCTATAACGACCGCAAAAGACACCAATCAACAATCTCAAAAAAGCTCGGACAACCAAAAACTTTCTCAGAACGTGATCAGCAAACCTTGAAGCGGGTGATCCAATAGAACCGACATGCTTCGGCTGCCTGTATCGCTAGCAAGCTACCCATAAAAGCCAGTATTTCAACAGTTCAATCAGAGACTCGAAAACTTGGCTTTCACTCTTGAGTTGCCGTAGTCAAGCCTTATCTCAAGAGCAAACATGTTCTGAAGCGTCTTGAGTTTGCTAGAAAACACAAGGATTGGACTTACAACAATTGGAAGAAGGTCATCTGGACCGACAAATCCTCATTTGAGATTGGAAAGTCTGCAAAGAAGGCTCAGGTGTGGCGCAAACCGGGTGAAAAATACAACCAAGACTGTTTAGCCCCAAGTTTCAAGAGTGGAAGGACTTTGGTAATGATCTGGGGGGCATTCACAGCTGAGCTTCGCTTACCAATGATAGTAATGCCGGTGGGACGTCAAACTGGAGCCAACTTTATCAATTTGGTGTATCGCCGGATTATTGAACCACTCATCACCTCACCTAACTGTCCACCAGACCTCATCTTGACGGAGGATGGAGCCCCGGTACACACAAGCAAAGTGGCGAAACAATGGAGGGATGATCATTCAATTCAAAAGTTAGATTGGCCTGCAAATAGTCCAGATCTTAACCTAATTGAGAACATCTGGAACATCATGAAAAAAAATGTCTCTGAAAAGCACCAACCCAGAACAGTTCAAGAAATGTGTGAAGCACTGTATACCAAGTGGAAAGCAATCCCTCAGAGCAAGTTTCAAGCTTTAGTCGAGTCCATGCCTGACCAAATCAAGGCTGTGCTCAAAGCAAAGGGCGGACACACTTGCTGGTAAAAGTCATTGTATTTTAGAGTCTACATCACATTTGTGAATCCTGAAATCCATTCATATGTACTCTGCTTAGTGGTAATCTAGACCATGTACTTCCAGGTACATGAACAGTGAGATTGAGAGCTAGATAAGCTTGTTGAGAGTTGCCACATTGGTGAGTTTTGCTACAGGTACGTAAACTTTTGTCACTGACTGTACAAGCAGACCTCAAACTCGTTTGGAACGACTGAAGCATCAAAATCATCACTTCCAGAACACACTTGGTTTGCTCAGTGTGATTGATGTGCTGTACAAGGTCTTTGTGAAGTTCAACTAATGGCACATTGGCAGTAGACAAACATGAACACCCAACTTGAAAACCTGTGGACAAAACCCAAGAAACAATTGGGTTGTCATAAGCCTAACTAAGCCCCTCTCGCGCGGCCACGTCTGTTGAGGGAAAGTTGAAGAAAGTACTTAACAGTACTTAATTCTTGGAAGTCCTCCGCCAAAAAACCTGAGTCTGTGGTAAGCCCCCCTTTGAGGTCGCGGACGCAGCCGCGGAGAGGGCTTAGTTAAGCTTAGGGTTGTCATGGGTTTTTAGGTCGGGTCTTCAAATTTGTGTACCGCCATTGACACAATCTTGATCTATAATAATGATTGATGTTTTTATGACCATACTATGGTGGCTCTAAAGTGCCACTTGAGTCACTGTGTCAAGTTTGACAAATTTGACCTTCCAGACCCCCAAAAGATCTGCTGACCAGGTGCCGACCCTGGCCGACCCTCTCGGCCAAATCATCAGATTCTCCTTTGCCTTCTCACCAGCTTTTTATCATTGACTTCAGCGGAGAACTTAAAGAGAACAATAGTTGGACTTGTTCAAGTATGATGAACTCTAAGATCAAGACAATAATGGGATTGATAAAAACAAACTTTATAAGAATACGGTGTATATAGTTAATTGAATCAATTGATTTTCTTTGATGGGTGTATTGTAGGGATCCTTCTATTTCCCTTATCTTTCTCTTAACAACTTCTTGTCTTCCTTGAAGGTACTTCCAACGCCACCGCCGCTCCGCCCAAGAGTGCGGCAGCGGAGCGGTAGCGGAGCGGCCGCCCCGCTCACGCTTTCCTTTTAGCCTTATAGCGGGGGTTGCGCTTAGCTATAGCTATCTGGGTTAGGGTATCTCACATAGTGCTTTTTGATGCGCACTATATAGTGCTAAATCGCTGTGCTATGATGCGCCATAGCGCCTCAGAGCGCCATACATGTCAAAGCGATATGAGTGCCCCAAGGGCGCCTACGAATACCTTATACAGACCTCACATTTGTATTATACCAATTGGACAACCCCCCGGAACACAACAACCACCTCACAATTCCACCCCAACAAATCAATCACATCACAAACACCATTAGCCCACCTCAGCCTCCCAGATCCAGTCTTGAGCACGGCCAGGCTTGAGCACGAGCTTGAAGCCATGCTGTTGTTTCCATCCCAAGTGGAGCCTTTGGCACTATATGATCGACTTCAAGGTGAGTTATCCTCAGTTTCCCTTACTCGATTTATCTTATCGATTCTCTAGATTGGATTCTTATTAGAATTGTTTACTCATTCATCCTTTAACCTCTCCACTTTCATCTGATCTTCTTAGAACCTTACTCGATTTCTCTAATTGATTATCTAGATCGGATTCGTAGATCATTTGTTTACTCATTCATCCTTGAACCTTTCCACTTTCATCATTCAATCATGTGTCCACCTGCCGCCGATACTAGAAGTTACACCCAAAGCACTTTACAGCTCCAGTCTAATACTCTCTCTTTACCTTTACCTGCCACGACCTCAGCTCGATCCCTTCGAGTTCGTAGCCCGGTTCGCCCTTGTCCTGGCTATGTCGTGCAGTCACCGGACTCCCGACGTGCTCTTCAATTACCAAGTGACGAACCTGACGAATCAGGAAGCGACACGACTGACGGATTAGATCCTGCTCCCATGGAAATCACCCCTCTGCATCTGAAAAAAAGGGTTCCTAAAGGACCTAATCAAAACGCTAAAACCGGAAAAAGAAAAAGCACCATTTCTCGTAATTGTTCAAACTTGTCTCAATCTTCTTCAGCACCAGTGAAGAAGAAAAACAAGGCTACAGTACAAGAGGTATGTAGTTGTTCTTTGTTTGTTTGATTTCACAGGCCGTTCATCCTTTTTCTAACTTTTTGTATCTTTTCTGTCTTTGTTATTCATTCCTTCTCTTTCAAAGGACTACGAAGTACCCTCCGGACTCGATCTGAACCAAGACTCTGATATAGAAGTAGTCCACTCACCTGGTGTCAAGCGTGAGCAAGGTCGGGTTTGTAAACTTTTGCTTTACTACGATCCCCCTATTCATGTGAAGGGAGAGGTAAGTACCATTTTGTTTGATCATCAAACAAAAACTTTAAAGGTCTTAA